CGGTGCCCGGGGGTGGCCGGGACCGACACAGGGCTGAGGCCTGCAGCGAGTTCCCGGGGCGGGGGGGCTGTAACGCTGCTCCGTTTATTTGCTTACACAGAGTGTTTGATGCGTGTGTGCTTCTGTTTTGTAGATCGTTCGTATATGAGATTAACAGAAAAGGAAGACGAAACGTTGCCCATAGATGTAAGTTTAACTTTTCACAGTGTTTGAAAGGTGTGGTGCTGCGTGCCTAGTTTGATTTCTCTCAATTGCTTTTTTGTTGTTGTTGTTATGTGATGGGCGTGGATAAAGAGTAGTTTTTAAATTGCAGTTTTGTCCAAGCTCCTTCTGTCAAAGAGCCCCATATTTTCTCTCCCATCTTCCTGCAGTGTGCTGTATCTGTCAGAGAGAACAAACCCCAGATCCAGACCTCCCTCTCCTTCTTTAGAGGTACCCTGAAGCATCTCATCCAGGAATTCACTGAACGTAGCTCAGAGAACATTTGCATTCATCTCCTTCTTTGCAGCATAAACAACCTCCTCCCTGTGGCTTTTGTTGGCTGACATTTGTTTATCCAGCGTGGCTGTGTGCCCATTTGATCCCAGCATGACCTGCTTCAAGAAGAGGCTTTTTCAGATTTTATTTACTTGTTTTTTTAATTCCACTTCAGTTCTTACCTGTTCCATTTTTGCTTAATCAGAAAGGTAAGGAGATCAAATACCCATGACAACCAGGCACGGCATTTGAACTGAGCAGCAGCTGCCACCGCTGCACAGAGCGTGTCGGCAGCCGACTTGGGGAGAATATTAGATCCTTAAGTGCACAAGAACAGCGTGTTTTGTTCTAAGAATCTCACAGAGGAGCCATGTGAATCAGTTCAGTCCATGCAACGGAGACCGCGTGTCAGGCCGCTGAAGCTGTCCTCAGCTCTGCCACCGTTTTGCCGTGCCAAAGAGGCAGGGGAGTTAACCCTCCTGCGTCTCGGTTTCCCTGCTCTTGAATTCCCCACCTCTGTAAGGCGCTTCCTGTCACTGGATGAAAAACACAGGAGATGCTGTTTGAAAGATGAGATTTTTTTGGTAAATGCTAAGGCCAGTAAGTAACGTGTGTGCTGCCTTGTGCTTTCCTCTGTTACAGATAGTTCTCCAGACTCTGTTAGCCTTTGCAGTTACCTGCTATGGGATAGTACATATCGCAGGAGAATTTAAAGACATGGATGCCACTTCAGAACTAAAAAATAAGTATGTTTTATTTCTTCTTTTCATTTCTTCTTTTCATAAACACCTGTATCTGCTACCCTTTGTAGAAACTGAACGTTGAGAAGCTCAGCTCTTCTTAAATGCACGTTGTAGTTAGGGACACAGAGAGGAACAGTCACACCTGGGAAAGCCAACAGTATCTTGAATTACAGAGAGAGTTAGACAACAGATTAAACTTCTTGCTTTTCCTCATCCAAAATCCTGCTGTGCAGAGTTGGTAGAGGAATGAAATACCTGTGAGGTAGGTAAGAAGCTCAGGAGTCACAAACTGCTGTCGTGAGATGGTCTCGTAGATTACGGGGCAGTGTGCCTGGCTCACCTTCTGTCTGCGCTGCTTTACAAGAGTCCGAATTATTTGAATTTCACACTGAACTATTCAAGGCAGAATATCTGAAAGACACTAAGAAAATAAGGGATTTTTAATTTGGGATTTTCAAAAGGTTATGAAATTGGATGGGCAGGTGCAGCCTTTTTGGCCATTTCCAAAACCACAGAGGGGTATGAGGAGGAGGGAACAAGTTGATGTTGTTATATTTCACAGCGTTTACCTAAAACCCTTGGCTTCAGACATGGAAAGGGATGATAAGCCAAGGCATTCACGCCGGTGGCAGCTGAGCTAAGGCTGGCACGTTTGATCTGTGTGCGTGCAACAATCCAGGGCCTGCCCCTAAGTTCAAGGAGGGAAGGTGAAGTTTGTCTGTGTGGTGGACCACCTCTGTGCGTTGAGCAGTCGGCATTTTTCACGCTTGGCCTTGTACTTCCTCTGCAGTTCAATTTAGGAAACTTAAATAGTGAGCAAGAGTTTCAGGTTCAAAACTTCTATTTCTGTAAAAGTTGCTACACCCTAGACTGACTCTTCTAAAACCTCGGTTCTAAAAGAGTATTAACGCTGGCTTTTTACATTTATTTTGAAGGACATTTGACACATTAAGGAACCATCCATCTTTTTATGTATTTAATCATCGTGGTAGAGTATTGTTCCAGTCCCCAGACACAGTGAATTCTTCTTCAAACCAAGATGCTTTGTCATCCAGCTCGTCACTGAAATTTCGAAAACTTGAACCTCTGCGCCGCTAAGACTTTTACAGATTATAATAATAACCCAGGACACTGAGATGTAATATTCAAGTCGGGGATGTAAACACTTTTTTAATTTCTGGAGCAGTATTTATATTGATCTTCCAGACTTTATAAAGTATATATATATATATAAAAACTAAGGACCTTCTTTGTACGCTGTTAATGAAAATGACTGAATTGTGAATTGGCAATGCAGTGTAAATTATTCTACAGTTATGCTGTGAAACACATCTTCAAATTTTCATACATTAAACCAAGTTGCAGCTGACTTTAACTTCAGTTAAACGAAAAAGCAAGCTAGTTTTTACTGCAATTAACATTCTTTGACAAGAGGGAATGTTCGTACTATTTATTTTCTAGGCTGGTTGCACTACAGTTTGTGGAACTCCCTCAGAAATACTGTGTGCACTGCATCACTTAAGAGCAGTAAAAGGGGCAGTGTCTCCTGTTCCTAGAATGCCCAGGAGACCTGCAGGCTGCAGGCACGAGAAGTCAAAAAGACTGCTTTCATTTTTATTTTTTTACAATGCTGAAAAAAATAGTTGTGTGAAGGGTTTTGGTTTTATTGTCGTTTTGTTGTGGTTTTTTTTTCCTAGTTTTTCATTATCACATTATTTCCTTGATGCACTCTTTTGTTTAAATGTAAACTGTCCTGCGTTGTCCCAAGTTGCCTGGGACGTGGCTGTACATTTGGTGCCTGTGGCGGGGAGGCAGCTCGCGTCTGTTCACGTAGATAATCCACCACGCTCAGCTTATTTACCCACTGTATTTATGTTCTCTTTGGTTGTGGATATGGGAATGTTCATCAGACGGCCAAATGCAGCGTTTGGTGCAAGATACGATTTCCCAAGTCATCTTCTATGAGAAGTATTTAAGTATCAATAAGAAATAGCCGTTCTGTCAGCGGTCCAGGGGCAGGATCTGGCAGCTGGGTCTGTTTGCTGGCACTAGTACAGGACAGGTAATCAACCAGCCATGGTACAACTACCCCCTTTTCTGCCAACAGTCTGATTTTTCCAGCTGAGCCCTTTGTTGATTTAAGATTACTGTCTTGATTTCACGTATTACAACATGGTACAGCCCTTAATTCTCACTGATGTCTGAATTCTTAGCCCTTAGGGGTGAAATCAATGCTAAAATTTCTCCTGGTCTGACATTTCACCTACCTGACCTAGCGAAGGAAGGGTAGTTTGAGATACTGATGGGGCCAACTAGAATTTTGCCTAGTCTGAAGATGTCTCACTGCTGCTGTGGAAACTCAGCCTTTTGTCCTAGCATCTGTTTTTGGGTTTGTTTTGTTCTTTTAAACTGTTAAGAACCGTCAAAAGCAAAAAGCTTAGCAAAAATACTGTGTAAACCGAAGCCTCTTTTTCTAGCTCTGCCCGTCCTATGGAGTGGGTGCCCCAGTGCTAGAGCAATATCTGTAGCTGCTGCTTTACAATCACTCTTAAGCATCTGGGTTTGGTTAGAAAGAGTTACTCTGCCAGCTGAAAGCATCCGAGCTGCCGGATTACTTCCCAAAGTGTCCTGGCTCCCCCCTAGCTGGTGTCACAAATCAGCTCCTACCAGCTGCTGTCACCAAAGGCCTCAAAAATAGCAAGCATCAGGTCAGCTCTCTGTTGCAGGCAGAGCTCTTTCCTTGGGGAAGAGTGCTGCTGTGCGGCAGCCGCTGCGCAGCGGAAAGGGCTGAATGGGCTCCAGGTGACCTTGCGAGGCACAGAGGGAAGAAGGGAGGGAGGGAGGGAGAAGCAAGGCAGAAGGTCAGTAAGGGCTGCACCAGACTGACACTGCAGCCGTGGCTGGCAGTGGGCCATTTGCAGAGGGTCTCTTAGAGCAGGGCTGCTCACCCTTAACGGCTAAGGAGCCCCATTTCCCACCTCTAAGGGGACCGGTTAGCTCAGTCAGTTGAGCGTGGCGCTAACAACGCTAAGGTCGCGGGTTCGATTCCCGTTCGGTCCCCATGTGTTGCCTGATCTAGTCGAGAGGTGGCGTCCCTGGCGGCAGGGAGGCTGGATTAAAATGATCTCTAAGGTCCCTTCCAGCCTAGGCCATTCTGTGATCTATGATTTGTGGTACCATAAGGCTACGTGGGCCTGCCTGAGGCAGAAGGTGCTGCCCTGGGACAGGGTGAGTGAAGAACATCGCCTGCTTCTCCGAGCGGATCCTGCTAGGAACACCCCGTTAGCTGCATCAGGTCTCTTCTCGTGACAAGTAGCCTTACTCTTCAGCAGCAATGGTTATATCACAGAGCTGTACAAATTATTTTTTCTTATTGATCTCGCAATGTCCAATAAAAATTGATATCCTTAAAGCGTTTGGGAGTTTGCTCCTTTATTTCTGACCATCGTGGAGCCTGCTGCAATGCCCAGCATTGACAAGAAGCGATTGCTGCAATTAGGGCAGCTCTGTGTGGAAGCGTGTGCCTGGCCTGGTGTTCATTACTATGAGAGAGGATCAGTAGGGGGATTTTAAATAGCATGCTACAAGTAGCTAAACATTTAGGAGGGAAATGTTACCGGCCTGGAGGTCTTGGTGCCTGTGACATTCCTAGTCAATGTATCCGGCAGAGCTGACATTTTCTGCCTTCCATTTAACTGTGGTAAAGGCTTTTCTACGATGTCCCAATCCCCTGCCAACCCACGGGACAGGCTCCTGCAAGGCCTGGTATTGCAACAGCTGCTGGGGGAAACTTGCAGCCTACTCGTGAGGCTAGAGATAGTTAAAATCTTGGGCTTGAGCAAGATCACTTTTCCCTCCCTCTTCTGCTTTTCCATTGGGGGAGGTTGAAAAGTTAGCAAAGAACTAGAGGAGTTTGCTTAACTGCAGCATCCACCATGACTGCAGCAGAGAGCGCCACGGACTCGCCCTTTGTGTGCAGCTCTCTGCATCCAGCACTGGGCGGGAGGGCATAAAAAACCCCACAGCGATCACTGTTTTAAGGAAGGGGCACCTTAACGAGGTCCGGAAAGTGCTTTGTGTTTACCTTGCACTATGCAGTTTTTCACAGATGAGCTTCAAAAGCAAAAAAGCAAAAGTTGTGCCAAGAGCTTCTTGGATTAGACCGAAGTGTTTCCAGTCTCGCCCAGTGCGCGTTTACAGCCATCACACCTCAAATTGCTTTGGCTACAGGATGTGATGTTTCTACTACACTAAATACTTAAAAAAAAAAAAAGCAGTGATAATTTGCATTCATTGCTGGAGTCGCAGGTTTACTCTGCATTAATTTTGCTGGGGTTTGGGGCTTTTTTTCCTACTCTTTCTCACAAGCCCTTTTAGTTGTTTAAAGCTGAGGGCAGGAGTCATTTAGACCCCCACAAGGCAAGGAGACAGGGACTGTTGGTTTGCATCAGCGATCATTCGCTGTCTGTGTCCTTTCCGAATCAGGGGCTGGGGTGGAACTGCAGCTGGCAAAAGTCTCTTTTCCTAGAGAGTTCAGCGAGGGCTGAACCGTAGCACTGCTTGTGAAAATAACTCATCGGTCACACGCACCTGAGAGCTGCAGAGGAGCTTTGTGCTTTCCCTCCACGCGTTGGCAGAGACAGAGCATGCTGGAGCCATCGCTGCAGTGCAGGAAAGCGGCCGAGACCCGTCAGCGCTGCCCAGAAAGGGTGAGGCTGTGCCCTCTCCCCACCGCTTGGATTAAAGCTTTCTCAGGGAAGCCGGTGGCGAATGGCCCCTTCCCAGCACTCTGGGGCACCAGCACAGGCCCCTCGCTGGAGAAAGTGGGGAACGGCGATTACTTTCTATTTCTGAAATCATTTTTGGCTTCCTTATCACTCCCTTCCCATGCTTTGGCTTTCAAAAACATCCCCCCCTTGAGAGCGGCACCCTTTGTGCTCCTTTTTTGGGGTCACCGCCGCAAGAGGCAGCGATTTTGCACCAGCCGATTCGGAAAGGCTGAGGCTCACCTCGCAGCATCCAGGGCCACGGCGCTGCCCCCAAGCTCCCTGCGAGAAGCCTGCCCCGACGCCCCCAGCCTGGGCAGGGCAGGGAAGCTGCAGCTTTCTTTGCAGTTCCCCACTGTCGCAGCCCCCGGTGCCCGGGCGAGCTGGCAGGCTGCCTGGGCGGAGGGGAAGGGTGAAGAAAGGCTCATTTGAATGTTAAACAAGCAGAACAAACTTTGGTACCAGCTCTCCACAGCCAGCGCTGCCAGTGACGGCAAACCACTCCTGCGATTTGGCCTTGAGGTTCACCTTGAAGCCATAATCACCTGGGGGAGAATGATGGTGGAAATAAATCTGCTATTCCGGCAGGTAAAAGCCTTTTAATCAGCCCCAGGTCGGTCTCGGTGATACAATGTCATTTCAAAACACTTCGGACTGCAACAAAAGCTAAATCCTTAAAATGGCAGCTAATTAATTTTCCTGTCCTGCTAACTTAATCCTTTTTCCAGCCAAGAAAGGCAAATGGGAGTTCACGAAGCAGAGAGGCAGCCAGGAGCCTGGCAGCGCGAGCAGGAACACAAGCCCCAGGGCTCTTTGGCAGGAGCCCAGGCTGTGTGGTGTCACGGCTTACCAGGCCATTTTAAAAGTCAGGGAGAGAAAAAAAAACATTAAAAGGTGACATCTGCATTATCAAATCAGTGGCTCATCCTATGCTAGTGGTCCCAGGGAACCCACAGACCCTCATGCTGATAGACGGGGTTATTTACTCCCAGTTTATATCCTCAGCGTAACCCCTGCTGCCAGGCAGAGCAGCCGGCGCTGGCAGTGCCCTCCATGCCCAGACCGCTGGCAGCGCCCTCCATGCCCAGACTGGTGCTGGCTGAACCAGTTTCCCCGGGATTCGCCGAAGGCACGCCGTGGTGCAGGAGGAATTCACTTTGGATTAAAGAATAAAAAAAAAGAAAACTAAAAAAAAAAGGAAAGAAAAAAAATCCCACTCCTTCCCCAAGGTATTTCTGCTGTGTGTTTTTGAGCAGTTCAGGGCCAGCCATGCAAGGACAGTGCTGACGTCCTCAGAGCCCCAGGCTGCTCCAGCCCACCTTGTCCCTGGGAGGTCCGTGCCGCAGCGCAGGATGCAGGAGGAGCGCCCGGTGCGTGCACTGAACGCTGGAGCAGCAATTTACTCCCCTGTCCCCGATGCAGAAGTGCACAAAACAAGACACTTGCATCAAAAAGCAGTTTTGGA